CACTGCTGGAATTCAAACTCTGGATTTCCTGTTTACTTGACAGGCACTTTAGAGCCCAAGTTCATGTCAGGTTAGTCCAAATTCATGGAAAGCATAGTGCTTGCAATCACAGAAGAGTTCCCGGTTTTTAGACAGGTGCTTTTCTGTTGATAGCACTTGAAATCAACATGCAACATGTCTGAAAGCAAACAAGTCTGGACCTGAACCCAATTTGGCTTCCCGGCATGGTGTTTCATGTCAGGTTCTTCCAAATTCATGGAAGAGTTTCGGTTTTTCAGACAGCCGCTTTTCAGGCGAGAGCAATTGAAGTGAACAAGCAACACACATCAGAAAACAGCTCTGGCAGAAACTGAACCCACAAGCTTTTAATAGCATCAAGGCAAAACCAGGAAGTCACCCTCCTGCATGCCACAGGACCCTTGGTTGCATGGTGTTTCAGCAAAGGCACAGCTCTTGCACCAGGCACTGCTGGGATTTGAACCCAGGATCTCCTGTTTACTAGACAGGCGCTTTAACCAACTAAGCCACAGCGCCCCAACCTTTCCCCAGGGCAATCTTCAACAGCCCATGCTTTTGAAACTTGCAGTTGAAAGCAACATGCAAACAACTGTTGACAGCAATTGCTCTGAGGGTACTCAGCATATGTTTCTAATCTTTGCCAATCAGAATGCTAGTCTGGGGTTTGCATGTGTGAGCACAAATTGCGACAGGAATCCATGTCATGAGTATTTGTAGGGACTTAAATTTAGGAAACAGCTTCATTTTGGCCAAATAAGCAGAAACAACGATATTGTTTCAACCAGGGCCAATGAAGCATTCCATTTAAGATGATGAGTAGGAAATTGCCTTGTCAGGACAGGATTCCTCACCATGGAATTCTTCTCAGATACCCTGTCTGGTATAGAAGAGACTAACAGGCAACAAATAGAGGGGAGCAAACGACTCTGGTGGGACTCGAACCCACAACCTTTGAATAGCTCTAACACCGAGCCTAGAAGTCCAATGCGCGATCCATTGCGCCACAGAGCCCCGTTGCCTCTGTGTACCTCATCTGACACATATATTGACACAAAGGACTCATATAAATGATAAATGTGTGAAGTTAACCAAGAGAAAGTTGAACCTGAGTCCTATCACATAGGCTCTCTAGTGTCTAAGTTGAGCTTCAGAATCTATTAAGATTCTATCTATCTATCTATCTATCTATTCTATTCTATCTATCGATTTAGATTCAGAAGCTGTCAGAATCTAGTCGCAACAGTCATAGCCCACCACTTGTCTCTGAGTTTCAATGCATCTTTATCACCTCAATGAGAAACAATGCACTGTCAACTCTGTGCCCTCATGCCGTGCAACTACTTGCCTGGGACTGCGTGACGCAACGGTAGCGCATTTGACTCCAGGTCTGAAGGTTGTGCGTTCAAATCACGTCAGGGTCATGTAGCTTGCTCTTTCCCATCCTTGCTGGTGTCTGACTCCAGATCTGAAGGTTGTGCGTTCACATCACGTCAGGGTCATGTAGCTTGCTCTTTCCCATCCTTGCTGGCGTCAGTGACGTTTTTTTGGACAGTGTAATGCGAAAAAATTTTTATGGACTCAAATCTCTATGATGACCATCCGCGTCAATGTCAACATTGCATAGGTAACAACTCTTTCACCTTATTACCAGTAGTAACTTAGCAACCTACTGTAATATGGTTCCAAAGTTTGCCCATTGTGCTTGCTGAAAAAAAAAATGTTGTCTGAAAATACTGTTTGGGATGTTTGCAGAATACAAGTGTGGTAATGTAGAATGGTTTGACCACTTACTTAATTAGGAGTTCGTCACCAGTTTGCCGGCTCGTATGAGGAAGATCCACTGGCATGGAATCCTTGCCACTATCCGAAATCGTTAAGTCCCTCGCCGTCCTCCACCAGACACAGGTGGTGTGCAGCATGTCATGAATGTCAGCTGGTGAATCCGCCAGCCACCCCAAAAGCGCCATTCCTTTGCCTGCCATTAATCAAAGTCCCATTCGAAAGAATTGGTATGGACCTCGTCGGGCCATTAGAACGGACTGCACAAAGGCATGGCTTTGTGTTAGTTTTAGTGGACTACGCGACGCGATATCCAGAAGCAGCGCCTCTTTGGTGTTATCTCCCGAGTCGGGATCCCAAAAGAGCTCCTGACTGATCAGGACACGTCCTTCATGTCACGCACTCTTCGAGAACTGTATGAATTTTTGGGGATTAAACCAATTTGCACCAGCGTTTATCATCCACAGGCGGATGGGCAGGTCGAATAGTTTAATCAAATGCTTAAGAAATAATCAAAATAAATTTGTTCATGATGATGCTGGGAATTGTGGGATAAGTGGCTAGAGCCCCTGTTATTTGTTTTCCTAGACATCAGTAGGGAAAATTGGGAGGAGGGACCTTCTAACAGCATGAATGAAATTCAGTGTGTTCTGGACTTGAAGGTGAAACTCTACACTTTAAAGTCACGCAACACAGGAAAATTTGAATAATACGAGTCCCACAGTAACTGGTCCAGTCTGGTGGTCTTGGTTCCCAAGGCAGACGGCTCGGTTGGGTTCTGTGTGGACTAGAAAAGTCCACCCTGTGTGTTACTACTCCCAGAAGTTTACCAAGCATCAGGTAAATTACTCTACAGGCGAGAAAGAAACCTTGGCATTGTTGTCAGCGCTTCAGCATTTTGACATGTATGTTGGGTCCAGTAGTCTGCAGGTTATTGTGTATACAGATCAGAATCCGTTGGTATTTTTACATGGGATGCATAACCAGATGTATAACCTCTTGTTATACAAGATTACCGGCTTGAGATTTCTACACGCACTCGGTTAAAGGTTTGTGTACTTTTTTCAGTAGGGTTTTAAACCCACTTTTTTGTGGGTTTAAAGTTTTTTATTATATATTATATTTATAGTATATTTTGAGCTTTACACACCCCTCACACAGTGTTTTTTTTTTTTTTGTTATTTAGTGTGAAACTGAAGCGAAACACGTAGGAAGCGAGTTAAAAGAATGAGTTTCTCTCTGATTCGGACTCAGAAAACGGAATAATATGAGTGTAAGCGTAAAGCTGAGAGTGTGTAACAAAAGCGCAGTGTTTTGGGATGTGTAATAAATTAAAAAACAAGAAAACTGGACCTGTCCCTGGGTGCGCTCGAACCACCAACCTTTTGGTTAAGGGCCAAACGCGGTAACCAGATTGTGCCAAAGGTGGGGAGCAGCAGCCTGTTTGAGAGGGGAAGAAGGGAAAAAGAAGGGGGAAGAAGGGAAAGAAGGAAAAAGAGGAAAAGAAAGAGGAATAATGAGAGAAAAAAAGGAGAAAAGAAAGAAGAAAGGAAAGATAAAGAGAAATGAGTGATTTGTAGGCATCTGTTCTGCAATGTTTCTCAGAAAACATGTTTTTTTTGCAGAGTTCAGGTCACACTGCCAAGAAGACAATGCTGGTTCGAGTCCCACCTCAGACAAGAACTAAATTTTGAATTAAATTTTTGAAATTACAACTGATAGTCTACAGATTTAATTCAATGCAAGATATGGCATTTCTCTATGTATGTACTGTTATGGATGCTGTCTTTTTACAAAATAATGTCTTTTATTGTATTAATATTATTGTATTTACATATATTGTATTTTTTTTATTCTATTGTATAGTTTGTCCTTTGATTTATTAGAAATCCTAATTAACTTTACATATGATTAGTCTATTACTTATTTAAAGATTTGTGCTAAGAAGCGTATGCAAAAATAAAGAGATTATAAAATGTTTTACCACCCAGTGGGCTCGCAGAGTGATTACTGAAGCAGAAGTGTGATATAAATCAGAGACCAGTCACTGGTATATAAACAATAGAACTGTATTTTTAAATAAATAAATAAACAAACACACCAGCTTAAGCATAATATAATACAACACACGCACCATAACAATAAATACAAGTGATAAATTATTATAAAATAGTAAAATATTAAAGTATAACTATATAAGACTATAAACAACAACAAAAAAAACGATAAGTATTTTAAACATTATATTTACATATAAAATATATACATATAAATGTGTAAAGAAATAAAAGCTATTTTTTCTTAATGTGTTCCAGCCACTGCTCTTTTGTTAGAGTCTCAGTATTCGGACAGTAAATAGTGCCCTTATACTGGCTATGTCCAGTCTCCGCTGTCCTGTGGCGACCACATTTTTTGCAAGTATTCGCCTCCACTCTTCTTGTATACGCACGTGGTCGACGTGGCATTTGTGGTTGGACGGCCGAAGCTGGAGGAATACTGCTAGCTTGGGGTGGCTGGGGGTCCAGGGACCACAAACACAGTGTACATGGGGCTAGGGTGGGGAGCAAGTGTGACAAAAGCTACTGGAGGTCGAGGAAGCAACTGTCTTTGGGGTGCCAGCTTTGGTCTGGCCGTCTCACGTGGGTCTGGGGGGACGTGGAGGTGATGCACCTCTTCTGTTTGGCTTGCCCTACCGTGTTGTGCGGCAAGCTGTACGCATGCTCTTGCCCTTGCCCTTGCGATGGTGGTGCAGCCGGGCGAGCGCTGGCAGATTGCAGAGGCTCAGCAGCAACAGGAAGAGGATCAGGCAGATCCATTCCATGTAACAAGAGAGTCAGGTCTTGCCTTCTCACTCTCTCATTGTGCCATTGAACCAGAGTCATCTGATTCACCTCCACCAGCTGCAGATTGGTGCTCTGTATGATGGACCCATTGTTCAAGATCAGCTGCCGGATCCTGCGGTAGTCATGCAGGATTAGAGACCATCTTGTCAGGGAGCCCTTGCCCTTCCTCCTCGGATTTTTGTGAATCATTTTTGTGAATCCTGCAGAGTCTGATGAAAATGGCCTCCACGAGCCAGCAACAGTCTGGCCACTGGGCGGGTGAAGCTGTCGATGCCAACACACACTGTTTCAGACTATCTACCCCAGGAGTGAAAACGGCCTTCTTTTTAGGAGACCGAAACCTCCCTGTGGTCAACCTTTCCTGGTGTCTGGCAGCAAAGACCACCCGCTGCTTGTCAAAATCCAGCAGGTTCTGCCAGAGGGCCACAATTTCACTGACCTGAAAAAGACAAAACACAAACCATGCAAACACGGATGAGTTACATGCAATATTGGTTTTAAATACAAGAGATTTTTTCTTCTCCTTTTCATTCTTTTTTAAAAATGCCACTCACCTGCTGACTGCTGAGGGTTAGACTAGTTTGATGCCTCAGCTCCACCAAATAATCTGCCAGGCTGTCCACCCGGTCCATCCCTGGCACATTTCGATCATCCACAGCCTAAGTCAGTGTATTGAATAAAATATATGTTAACTATCTGCATGTATGACAGTAGGTATTTTAGGAATGGCTCAAATGTTTAAAGATAAGTCAAAGGTTCAAATGGTAACCTATTATACAATGAGTTTTCTAATACTGTGATATTTACATACCAAAGTCTCCTCAGGCACTTGAGTGGGAGAATCTGGAGCACTGATGCCAGGTGGAGTTGTAGACATATCAGTGCTTGTAGCGGCTGGCAGGACAGAGGAGGACGCGGCGGATGGCTGTGAGGAGGAGGACGCGGCGGCTGGCGTGGCGGAGGAAGCAGCAGGGTGAATTCTGGCTGCAGTTGTTGTGAGATCTTCCAGCAATGAGGTCAAGGTGGGATCATCACTTAGGTCCTCTTTAAATCCTTCATTCTCCTGCTCATCGACATTAACTTCCTCCAGCAGCTGGTCTGTTGCCTCAGAATCTGGGTCCACACTCTGAGCGAGTAGGTAGTCCACTCCGATAAGCTCCCCTAAAGAAAACAGAATTCAGATTACTAAACTAATTATGGTGGATCATTAAATGTTTTACTCTTACCAGTGTACTTCAAAAGGGGCCAGAAGCTGGGAATGTATTTCCTCCCAAACACCTTCAGACTGTTTATGTTTATACAGTGCACCACCTCCCCTGCATAGGTGAGGAGAGAGGATGGCTTGGTGGCCAAGGAAGCTGCTGCCCGGTCCTGGTTACACCTGTTCAGGCCTTCCAGGAGATAGAGCTGAAAAATTCAGGGTGTTTGCGCTGGTTCCTGTTAAGAAATAAGGCCATAAAATGGAGATTGTAAGAAGGCATATTATTACGTATTGTATTGTAACGTATTTGATATACAGACCAGTGAAATGCCAAAAATCCACAAACCTGGAATGAACCTTTGCATGTGGCAGTGGAAAGAATCGAGTGATGTTGAGCCCCTAGCGCACCTGTACCTGGTGAGCACTATCCCTCCCTTGGTGGTGGTGGTGCCTGTCTC